TTTTTTCCGCGATGGAGTTTTGCTCTTGTTGCCCAGGTTAGAGTTCAGTGACGCGATCTCGGCTCACTTCAGCCTCCACCTCCCTGGCTCAAGCAATTCTCCTGCCTCAGCCTCCCAAGTAGCTGGGATTATAGGTACCTGCCACCATGCCTGGCTAATTTTTTTTGCATTTTTAGTAGAGATGGGGTTTCACCATGTTGGCCAGGCTGGTCTCGAACTCCTGGCCTCAGGTGATCCACGTGCTTCAGCCTCCCAAAATGCTGGGATGACAGGCATGAGCCACATCACCCAGCCTGTATTTCTTTTTCTTTCTTTTTTTTTTCTTTTTTTTGAGACAGACTTTTGCTCTTGTCCACAAGCTAGAGTGCAGTGGCACAATCTCGGCTCACTGCAGCCTCTTCTCCGAGTTTCAGATGATTCTGCTACCTCAGCCTGACGAGTAGCTGGGATTACAGGCATGCACCACCATGCCTGGCTCATTTTTGTATTTTTAGTAGAGACAGGGTTTTAACCATGTTGGCCAGATGGTCTCTAACTCCTGACTTCAGGTCATCCACTCACCTCGGCCTCCCAAAAGGCTGGGATTACAGGCGTGAGCCACTGTGCCCGGCCTTTGGATAAACTCCATCTTAATGCAACATTTCAAGAAGGCAAAATGGATGCAAAAAAGTGCATGATGAACTAAATATGGAAATGTTAAAGAAAGTCAGGATTGGCTGCATACGGTGGCTCACCCCTGTAACCCCAACATTTTGGGAGGCCAAGGTGGGAGGATCGCTTGAGCCCAAGAGTTGAAGACCAGCCTGGGCAACATGGAGAAACCCCATCTCTACCAAAAATACAGAAATTAGCTGGGCATGATGGCACACACCTGTGGTCCCAGCTACTTAGGAGGATGAGGAGGGAGGATCACTTGAGCCCAGCAGTTTAGAGGCTGCAGTAAGCCATGATCGCACCACTGCACTCCAGCCTGGGCAACAGGGCACAAGACCCTGCCTCTAAAAAAGGAAAAAAAAAGAAAGACACTCTCCTAAATCCTAAGCCTGGCCATGGTGGGAGGCCCCTGCCTCTAGCCTCTTCCTGCCCCTTGGCAAATCCCCCAAAATCCCCATGGGTTTCTCGGCATTTCTCAGCAAATGAAGGGGAGGTGGGAGTGGGAGCGGGGATCCCCGAGCTTGTCCAGCCTGCCTCTGGGGGTTTCCTTGCTCCCAGGCATCCCGATGGCTGGGACATGTGCGGTGGCAGCTGTCTCCCCAGGCCTGTGCGCCTGTGTCTGTC